TTTGATGTCATTTCAATTTGGGTGTCATTCACCTGTTGTCGAGATAATGCCAACATTATCATTCATTCATTAACATTGTACGGTCGCGAGCTCTTCGTTTTTTGGTAGGATTAGCGTCGAATTAAAATAAAATACGTTTATCGCCTTATTTCGTGTGATGATCTCCAGTCAAAGGATTTCAAATGATTGAGATGGAGTCACAATTTTAAAAGATCTGCTAACAAAAGTTTTGATAAATACAGCCATATACCTAAGAGGAGGTACTCTTTAAGTCTAAATCTAAAAATTGATTTTGAGGCCGAAAATTTGTACTTAAATAAATGCAAAAGTGTGTAGCAAGATAAACAATAGAGCTAAATCAAAGTAGGTAAATGAGTGTGACTTTAAACAAGAAAAGTGTAGCTTAAAGTAAAATAGGTGTTGCTTAAAACAAAATAGGCGTAGCATAAATAAATGCAGGTTTAACTTTCAACAAACTTTAAAAATAATGGGTCTGTTTAAAACTTAGTAGGCGGTAGATCAACCAAAGTAAAGTGTAGCTTAAAAACTCTTCTCTCGTAGCTTCCCCTAACTCTTGTTCTTCTCTTGTTCTAGTCTCCCTCCCCCTCCCGCCCCGCGCCCCCCGGACTGTCCTTGTACGCTGTTGAAGGCCGCGGCACCGCACGGACAGAGCTGTAAAACTAACAGCGACATCTGTTGAGTGACACAGTGGAACTATTGACAAAAGTGGACATAGTGTACGATGATACGGATTTGACACCCCACCGAGTGTGCGGCGTTCATCTTGCTCCAGCTATACTCAGGTAAGATAGAAATAAAGCTTTCAATTTTCAATTTCAATAAATTTTTATTTATAATATTATTTATAATTCCTTTATGTTTTATAAAAAATATATTTTGAATGGTTCAGATATTGTTATTATTAATAATATTTATAAATGCCGCTCACGTATCGGCTTATACAGCCATGAAAAATCTTGCCTCAGACACTGAATAAATTGTCTGTCACAGACGTATGAGGCCATTGATGATCATCAGGTCCTGCTCAATCAGGAAAAAATATTTGTTTCGTTAAAATAGGTTGCCCAATTCAATTGCCTACTAATCCAACTTTAAATACAGAAGTAACAAATACCTTAAACCATGATATATGTGTCTGTCCTCATCTTTATGAGTAATTTTATACCTATTTCCAACCATCCTAACTATTACATCGTTCTTAAGCCGAAGATGTATGTCAATACTCTACGAAACTATTTGAAAACCAATAATATGGTTACTCTTCCTATTGTTACCATATTCTTACCTACATACGTAGGTATTGTCATTTCCTTTTTCATGAGGCTATAGGTATTTGCCACAGTTTTTCTGCTCTACTTGCAAGATTTGTCTTATTTCACACTTGGTTTGAATCATGCTTTTGGCGAAAAATGCGCATTCTTCTATGACTACGTTTTCACGTCAATTTCATGCATTACCTACCATAACTGGAGCAAACTTTTGTCACTTTCTTTCGTCGGCGAGCGGCCATTTTTGGTGACGCAGTGACCTATTGACATCCTTTCCTAAGCTAACCTAGAAATGGAAGATCAAGTTCGGTTGTTGCTAAGTATTTACAGAGATTACTCACATTCACTACAGAGATTCACTCGAGGAATTTTTTGTTTAGCTAAAAGTGTAAAAAATCCATCGCGGAATTTTTGAGTTGATGAAATATGACAAAAAAAATGACGTCAAATCCACACATTTTAATAGGTATAGCTGTAAGTATAGCTGCAATAAAGACTGATCTCTCTACAACTGGTGAATCTACAGAAATTTTGACATAAATTTGACGTCACATCAAAAACATCTGCAGAAAGTTGTCAATGACTCCGAATTTGAATAGAATAAATATGACATTAAGGATCGACTGTCAATATCTGGTTACCTGTAGGATTCAGTGATAATAAAATTTTCCGCACGTGGACCCAAACCTGCGTTTATTTCATTCGGGAATTTATCGATTATTTTGACAGATATACCAAATAATTTTCACGCTAGTATACCTATGTATACGTCATACCTACACACCGAAAACCTACTTCTACAATGTTTGTCATTAAACAGAGTCAAGTATAATAAGGTCTGTAGCACATCTACTTACCCTTTTCAGAAATATTTTTCATCTTATTAACATTAGAATAAACCATTATAAGTTGATGTCTTGAAGGGTTTTACCAAGATGCTGACCCATTTATCTAAAGCCTACAAAACTAGAAGACACTAGCATCCCTCACAACGACGAAACGCAGCAAACTGTTTAGTGTTTCAAGTAAAATGTAATAAAGATAACACACGATTGACAAGCTATCGGTTTTTCAACCCGTGCCCTACAAACCTGAAAGGTGTAACATTTGCACTTGTTATTCAATGTTTGAGTGATTGTACTATCTAGAGATAGCCAAAAATACGAAAATGTTGTGAATGGTATGTTTTTTGGTCACTATTACAGGCCATATCTGCCCTACATAGTAATTTATCTAATACAATAAGTGATCGCCGTGTAGTACCAGCTTGGTATTAGCATCACGCCGTACCTTTCCCGTGGATATCGCATAGGCGACAGTCTGACATCCTGTCACTATAGTGACAGTCACTTCCAGCAGCTGAAAGCCTCCCCCCGGGTCATGACCTGCCGTGGCCAACTTGGAAATCTTTAAACAGATTGCGGACCCAGGTTGGCCGGTGCAAAGACAATCTGGCCCGATGGGGATACATTGACGGCTCTTCTAATGTATGCGAGTGTGGTGCAATTCCTCAGACCATGGAACACCTCTTGACCTGCCCCATGTGTCCTGACTCCTGCACAGTGGATGATCTAATGAAAGCCACTGCAAATGCTGTCCGGGTGGCTGAATTCTGGGCGCACAAAATTTAACTTTTGCCATCGACACGAAAAGAAGAAGAAGTGATACACAGTCTTCTTAATGACTCTCAAACTTATGTCAGATGTGGTGCAAATGGCCGTTTACGCTCTGCCTACCCTACAAGGGATAAATGCATGATCTATGTATGTATATATGTGCAATAAATTGCCTACTTAGTTTCAACCAGTGTATGGGAATTTGAGCTGAAAAGGCATCTTTGATATGAAAACCCATGTGAATAAATAAACTTCAAACATGGTCAAAGTATACAATGGACCTGGATGACGTCACAACTCCTCCACAGACATTATTCACGCGCAACGGTCCTCCTGACCTCATCTCGTTTGGACAAAAGATTTTGTTTTTATTTTATTTTGGTCAGTCTCGTATTTCCGTTTCGCCCTACTTTTAATCGCATTTGGTTTTGCTCCACTCTTGAGAGATAATTGTTATTTCTTCTAATAAAAAATAAATATTGGTTTTTAAAGATCATAAATAAATATTTATGTATTAAATAACTGCAATGCCGTGTGATGCCGGCTTAGAATAGCATTACCCCAATTCTACCCGTGGGTGTCGTAAAAAGCGACTAAGGGATATTCATCCAGGGAATGGGCAGCACCGTTCCCTGTAAATGTAACATCTTGGTACTGCGCTCGCCAATTACCCTGCCAAGCGTGGTGAGTATGGCAATACCCCCGATAGGGGGAGGCCCATGTCCAGCAGTGGACTGTTGCGGCTGTTATGGTAAATAACTGCAATAAAGGCTGATCTCTCTCGTTAATCCACATACAGAACTTTTGACACATTATTTGACGTCACATAAAAACATCTGCAGAAAGTTGACAATGATTTTAAATTATATGAATACCTAGAATAAATATGACATGATAGATCTACACAACCCATTGAAAATTCCACAATTAAGTATAACCAGTCAGCAAACATTTTAATTCCAATCTACTTTGTAGGTGTCGTTTACATACCGATGTGTATCAATTATTCCAATACAAAGTTTAATATCATCATCAGAATTTTCACCTTGTTAAAATTAATTATCAATTTCATTTTACCGGCCGTTTACAATCGCCATACTTTTGAGTCGGCGGCTTTTTGAAGTACTATACATAACAGTACATAATTATACAAGTTATAATAAGACATAGCCCGTCTCTACAACACGCAAAAGCAACTCAACCAAAGGATTCAGACTTAACTGGTTATCGTAGTAACTGTATCGAGAGCCAAAATAATTAGATCCTTTAAATTGTAACTAATCATACTGCTGATATTACAACACATACCAAACATTGTTTCTTAGCCGCAGCTTTACAAAAACATATTCGAGACCACAAAACAGTTATTTCCAGCTCTTCTTGCTGAAATGAATCACATTATATTATAGGTCTAACGTGGGTCTAACCTAAAATTAGTGCATACACTTGCAGACTCTAGTATATTGCGAAATTTCTAAAGAAAAGATAAGGCGGTATTATGACTTTAAATTTAAGACATTTATAATTGTTAAATAAATAAAAACACATGCCTAATTAATGAGATAGCTTTAAAATATGTTGTAGCAACTTCACAACCAATAACCTCTAACTACATATTAATTTTGTCTTCTTTTAAAGTTATCACTACGTAATTAAATTGTATTCTGTAGAATAGGAACTTCAACAATTTAAAACTCAATCGCAAATAACTTCATTTGTTAGATGATATTGTTGTAAAAAGCTAACCTAGTTCTGTTGAGTGTAAAATGTATGCAGTGTTCCGCACTTCGGCACCCGTGGGTGTAGCAAGCTTGCTGGCTGACTCATAGAGTCTTTGAGATGGGCTTTGAACACACAGATGCCAGCCAAATATGATTCAAAACGAATGAAATGTAAGGGAAGCTTAAGCTTAGAAAAAATAAGATCCATCTACGAAGTTTAGAGAATAGGCGTAGCAGCACAAAGAAAATTGCAAGAACACAGTAATAGTTTCCACCACTTCTACTATAATGAAATGAATGAATAAGAAGGCCATGAACAGGTACGCAGAGCGATACCCTAGAAGAGTTATCTAATCTAACATTTATACATCGTCCTGAACGGGAATTGAACCCGAGACCTTTGCGTAGCAGGCAGACGCACTTCCTCTGCGCTACATCATTCAATATCCTTACAGAACTTGTCTCGTCAGACTAGTCTAGTATGTTCCTAGCCTTATGTCAGTACAATGTGTTAAGGTTGAATGTCTCATCGCGACCTCTCGTTGTAAATTAGGCTTTCAAATGACATGTCGTTATACATTTGACATTGTACTAATGGTTTCCTAATACTAATACACACCTCAGGATGATTCATTTCAATTTATGCTTTTAAAACGTCCAAATGCAAATAAGTCTGATAAATTACCTACTTAGTTTTTTCTACAAAATAAGCAATTTGAATTCTGCACTTGATTTATGCTGTTAGTTATATATTTTGCAATAAGAGTAGGTATGCCATTTCACAAAGGGGAACAAAATAGCTTACCTATTATGTTACTCAAGCAGGGATAATGTAGCGTAGTGCGATAGAAAAAAATATGTAATAGACCGAATACTATGAATTTAATACGAATAGAAATAACACATTTATTAGTACATAAAGCACTTCGGTTGCTTTGCTATTATTTTTTCTTTAAAATTTTATGTGTCAAAAATATTTTTGTGTTGATATTGCCTTTTATTAAGTTTTGGTTCTTTAACTTCGTATATTACGACTGTACTTCTAATAAATAAAAATAAATAACATAGCAACGGGCGAAATATAAATAAAAAGCCAGCCAGTTGGTGGCGGGTGGTTTGTTGAACCGACGTCGAGAAAGCGGCGCGTGCGACGTTCCGAGAACCGATGACGTTGATGAAACGTCACATACGTATACAGATAGGTATAGGTATACGTCGCATAGGTATACAGATAGTCGTAGTGTTAACAAGAGAACATAGGTAAACAAGATAAAAAACTAAGTTTCCAAAAAAAAGTGGTTAGTCTCAGAAAAACTACACTTAGACAACTCTAAAACTTGATAACATAAGAAACTGCAATAATTAATTGTACTTTTTTTGGAAATCTTGCAATATTTTCCACCGCAGGCAGGATTTGAACCTGTACTAACAACTGGCTACCACGGTTCTATCCTAGCCTGCAATTTAAGAGAGTATATCTTGAAACTTATTTCTTTCGCGATGTTTGGCAAGATCTGTGGTTATCTTTGTATACGTATGACTTAAAAAGACATTTTCAGTTCACAGAGCTACCACTGTTGTCTTGTTACATGCGTAAAAATTAGGTCCACAAGGTTAGGACCACATCATTTCAAATCAACACATTTTAAGCACAAAACGTGAATCATCATAATTTACAAACGCACTGACCAGTAGCCTAACGCCTGATGATTCAGAGTGTTTTCCTCTGTGTGTTGCAAAGGCCGTCCGATGTCCGTTTGGGTGTCGCAACACCAGTCGTAGTGTTAAAAGGTCCTTGACTGTAGATAAACGATTGGCACTTTGGGAAGTCCGATATCTAAGTGAATTATGACAGCGGTGAAGTTGTATGATGAAAATGGAAAGATGCAATATTTGGACAGACATAGAGCAATGCAAAATGCACTCGTAGTGTTAAGAGATCCTTGGGCATATCTAAACGATTAACAGGTTGGGAAGTTCGATACGATGCGTGTCATCTGACAGCTAAATGATGATAAAGAAAAGAAGAAGCAATATTTAAACAGACATAGTGCAATGCAAAAGAGCAGTTGTAGTGTTAACAGGACTTTGATTGTAGATAGTCTATTTCATAGGCTGGGAAGTCCTAAGTACCTATGATGTTAGCAGATGTAGTCCAAGAAATGAGTGGGAATCAAGAGATGCAATATTTGGACAGATGCAACGCAACAAAATAAAGTGTTAACAGGTCCTTAGCACTAGCTAAGTAAACAATTGACAAGTTGGGAACTCCGATATCTAATACGTGATCTATGACATGACAGCTGGAGAGAAGTATGATGAAATTTCAAAGTATTTTGAACAAACTTAAAGCAATGTGGACTTTGTCATTTACAAGGTATCATAGAACTTTGATGAAAGTAGAATTGGTACTATTTTACCTCTTAGGTGTGTGGATCACTAGAATGATCACTGATAATGCAATTGATACAAAGATACGCATTTTATTAGAAAAACCCTACATAAGCTGATAAAAAAGCTAATCTGTACTTGTTAGAATCTTGTTAGCACAACATCAACCGCAAACCAAAGGAAAACACTACGAAAACTCCCCCCACCAAACCGACCAATCATAATCTAGAATGCAGCTCTAGCACGCCAGTGACACATATAGCGGCGCAGGCGCAGCGGGGGGCGGTGTGGCGCGCGGGGGGAGCGGCAACTTTCACTGCGCGGTAAAGATGCGCGCGCGCAGATCGCGGCAATGACCATGCGATCTGGCAACGCCGTGTCAAGTGCATGGAAAATGGCGGTGGTGAAAATTGTTGATTCGGCGGTCGTAATCGTAAGGCGGACGCGCTTTGCCCATTGAAGCACGAGGAAAAATAAACTTATTGTCTTTCAAAGACAACCGTTCTCGGCAACTTAACAAGTTTCACACTATTAATGATGAATGATATGTTGAGCGCCTAAATCTAAATCAGTACAAACTTATTAAAGGGGCTTCCCAGAAAGGTGCCTGAGGACACTTGTGATGGGAAGCCTTGCTCTTCAATCAGATTCCGTATCTACAGCAACAGGATTTACAATAGGTATAGGTAATTAGTTCTTATCTTAACTATTAAACCAATTAAAGAGAAAGAATAATAATAGATAATACAGAACAAAGAAAATTAAAAAAATATTGCGAAATCAAACAACATTTTTTATTGCATGTTTTGCATGAGGTCCACATGGCAATTGGTTTCTTGAACTGGTAACTGCCAATGCAGGTGGCATGCAGTTATGACAGTTATTAACTTATTATCACGAAGAGCCGTGCAATTTTTAGTCATAATACGATACGCCGAGGTATTTTGGAGAAAACCGAAAACAACTCTTGGTACCTTCAGTATTAAAACCCAGAACGTTCAGTTGCAGAATTGGTATAAAATGGAGACTCTGCCGCTGAAAATCATTTATATGTCATATTCAGTCAATAAAATAAACTAAAAAAAACTACGAATTATGCAACTGTAATACCTATATGCACGAGAACTTTAATTAAATTACTTCTTAAGCGCAATCTTATTTTTTAAATCATGAATTTGACTTAATGAAATTCGCTATTTGAATGTTATGACAACACCTTTCTATGCGTAAACATCAAGAATAACGCTTGCCTGAGATGAAATCCCGGATTCGCACATTTATTTACAAAGACTGCCGTCGTGACTTTGCTAGTTTACTGCCTACCTCTATAGGCATAGAGTATAACCTAGGCCTTGTGCTCGCTAGCCGATCAGCTGATCCTGCTTTCACCGGCGGCCAACGTCCGCACACTATTGATTCTGTACACCCCTCCTTTACCTCATGAGTCTGTGAGCATACATAGTATTGAAGGTATTGAACTGCAATTTTGATAAGTAGTAGGTACGCGTCTGTACAGACAGATTGCTCATAATAAGTATTCTTAAAGGAACTCAGAACAGCAATTCTTAAATTTACTTAAATAATCAATTTCAAATATGGCGAGGATGATTCTTCTGTAAAATCTTCATTTTGTGCGCGTGCATCTCTAAGCCTATTAAAAATAAAACAGTGTCTTTTAATTGAAATGAAACGTATCTATGTGGATGATGTTGTCATTCACTGCAATGGTTATTGAATGTGACAAGATTGAAGAAGGTTTGTAATTGGATTGGTGCACACGTGCGAAGTTTTGAAAAAGTTATTACCTAAATACGTTGTGTATGTATTGTAAACCTGTATTAATATTACCGTAAAATTACGTTGACACACGTACATGTACACGTACAGTAGGAACATTGTATGTCATTTTGAATTTAAGTTTTTTTTAAGATTTCGGAGTTCCAATCATTCGATTCCAATCCGATCGTTCCAATAATTCTTAATTAGGGATAAAACTACCTTTATTGTGTGCGAGCTCAATACCATGCAAATTCTTAGCACTCTACCAAAAACTCCATGAAAGTTTGGAAGACCCAAAACCATAGAGTCCAGCCTTAAAAAAACTAGATTTCCTCCAGCACGATTACCCTGCGTAATTACGTATGTAGGTCACGTAGGCCGTCTAGCATGCCTAGGTCCGCCTAGCTATATAGTTATGTGGCTGGCTAGGTATAGCTCGAACAGCTTTCTCTTAGTGATGGGGGTGACGCTTTCTGACGGCCGGCGCTGTCATTGGTCAGCCAGATGGACTATTATGGTGATATCGGCTGGGAGGTTTTTTATACGAGTCTAATATACAAAGTAAAAAATGTACACAAAATGATTTCCCTCAATTATATTATATTTTTTAAGAAATCTGGTAATTTGTTTTTTGGGATAACTAATTTCATTGATGTGAATGAGAGAAAGACGTAATTTTTTTAATGTTTAATCGTTTGTCTTGATTGTATAGCGATTGCAAAAAGTAAAATTTTATGAATATTTTTAAGCTCTAGATTTTTGACGAGTTCACCGAAGTCTATTTGAATTGAATTCCAAAAACCCCTATCTTAAAAGAGTTACCTACATTTTAATAGAAAAAAACCTTCGTCATCTGACACCGTCTCAATAGTCAAATCGCATGACATTGCATTCATACACCATACTACCTACTTCACCTGCGTACTACAATTCCCACACAACCCATATGTTCCTTTTTTCAACCATTTCTTTACCTACCTGGTCGAATTCAAATATTGACTGATTGAAGGGTTCGCATCTGGCGCCGGAGAAAGCCCCGAAAAAAGCATCAGCCCCCAAAAAAGCACCTCATAAGAACGTCACGCGATAAGAAAACCGAAACCTCATAATATAACCATTATTTACCAATATGAAAATAACATGTGTCCTTTTGTCAGTAGCAGGCGGCATGTGTTCCATTGAAACACCGAATTTTTAAATTTGAATGCAAATGTTGTTTTTTCCAAAAGCCAATAAGATGTTTTTTTTTCTTGAGATGTTCAAAATGTG